CGTGAACGGGGAGTGGGTGCCGGGGGGGAAGCCGGAGCCGCAGGCGCCCAGCTGCCTCTACATCCACCCCGACTCGCCCAACTTCGGCGCCCACTGGATGAAGGCGCCCGTCTCCTTCAGCAAAGTCAAACTCACCAACAAGCTCAACGGCGGAGGGCAGGTAAGCGCCGGGACCCGCACCGGGACCCGCACCGCCCCGGCCCCGGCCCGGCGGGTCCCTGCCGACCCTCCGCTCACCCACCCTCCCAAGCTCGTTTTCACGCTGCTGTTTCCCAAGGGGCTGGGGTGCACCGTGCTTCCCACCCCCCCCGAACCGCGTCCTTTCAGCCGCCTCCATGCACTGACTTTCTTTTTTGAAACGTCTCTTCTGGTCTGAGTATCCGAAAATGCCAAGGGCGTAGCAGATGCAGCTTTCTGGCTGCTTATCGGCAACGTGTTTGTGACTACGCGAGCCGCCCTGTCAAGTAACGGGGACGAGGGTAACTCTGCGAAAAGTTGGGGCGTCTGACTGCAGTGGTCCTTGCCTTTTCCTACAGCTTCGGTTTTAGGGTTCATTCCCACCTGTTGCCTCTTTCTCCTCTGCTGGGAAGCTGGATCGTTAGATGCTTTAAACCCCGGGTGTTTCCGTGCCTGCCAGCACCCGCTGGCGCTCTGTCGCTGCTTACCTGCTCTCTCCCTTTGCTCGCAGATCATGTTGAACTCTCTGCACAAGTACGAGCCGAGGATTCATATCGTGCGAGTGGGTGGCCCGCAGCGGATGATCACCAGCCATTCCTTCCCAGAGACCCAGTTCATAGCTGTGACGGCCTACCAGAACGAGGAGGTATGCGCGGCAGGGAAGAAAGGATGCAAATACCAGGAGGTTTCAAGCGGCGAAGTGCATCTTACGGTGCAAAATAATGGATCTCGTGTCGCCTTTTACAGTTCTCTCTCACATTTTTTGGTTCTTTTTTGGTTTCACATTCTTTCAGTTGTTTTCAGTGCTTTGTTTGAAGCTAAATATAGGAAATGACATTAGTATATGTAAAAGCCCTATGAACATATAATAGCACAAAGTTCTGATCATCATTTGTCTCGCTATGTGCTGCAAATTCGTTGCAGGAGAGTAATTCTTAAAAGATTCTGTGGGGCAAACAAGTATTCTAAGAAATAGAGTTGTCATTTTCAGCTACACAGTGAAATAACTGGATATGCCGTTTTCAAAGCTGTCCTTTCTCTGTTAGCCAAAATGCACATCTGTGTTTAATGAATCTGTAAATTACCAATCTTTTTGAGATTTTTTTTTTTATGCCCATTCTGCTCCGGCTTGAAATGTGAAGCTTTTTATGACTCTTTAGTGTACTACCTTTCTTAGCCGTTTCCTTAGCTGATCAATAAACCCAGGCAATTCAGTCTCTTAGAATTCGGCAGAGGGACTAATTCCTCGCCCTCTGCTAATACTTCAGACCTTAGGGACTGTTTAATTGATGTCCATAGGTTGGTGTTATGGGCCTAATCTTATTTCTTCAAAAATCTGTGATTCCACTAACTTCAATGGATAGTCCTAATTCAAATCCTAATATCTCTATGGTAATGAATGGTGATACTTGCAAATAAAGATATTTGTTGTTGTTTTTAGATCACAGCTTTAAAAATTAAATACAATCCATTTGCAAAGGCATTTCTTGACGCAAAAGAAAGGTGAGAGCTCTTAATTCTAAAGTGTGGATTTTTTATAGAGATTTGTAAAAGCATATTCTTAACTAATACGACACGGTTTCTTTTATAGGAGCGATCACAAAGACATGATGGAGGAAGTGGGAGACAACCAGCAGTCTGGGTATTCGCAGTGTATGTTTCCTTTCACTCTGCATCATGAACATAACTTTGATTCCTTCCATCTCGCCTGTTAAGCAAAACTTTAAGAGCGCTGTTTGCTGGCTGGCTTGTTTGTTCATAGGAAGGATTATTAATATATATTAATATCTGTTGATTACCAATCCTTATGATTGTGGTTCATGCAGGTTTATGACTGCATAAACATTATGATCTCTGTGTGTGTGGTTAAGACTTCTGTATTGCATTCAAAATCCTTTAATAGAATCTTGCAGCTACCTTCGTGTCCAAAAAGACAGCCGCTTCTTCTTAGCAGTGCGAGAAACCTCAGAGCTTAGCTATAGATTGAGACTCCCAAAGAGCAATTTAAAATTCAAGATTACACTAACAATTACTGAGCGCACACACTACCTACGTAAGGGAGGGTTTAACCATTTCAGTGTTTCCTTACTGTGACTGTAATTTAATGGTAGTTTAAAAAACGTTAGCTTGACACGGGGCTTTTTCTAAGCCGTTGGCTAATTCTCCTTCACAAGGTTGTTTAAGGAAGTTGTAAAGACCCAGATTTTTCAGCCGTGTTGAAACTCCGTTTCCTCGCTGATCAACTATTTATCTCGTCGCTGTGATTCTTTCCCAGCCTGGCTGCATGACATACCCGTCTTACAAACCTCTTGCTTCCCCACAGTAGGTAGTTGGCTTATTCCCGGGACTGGGACTCTGTGCCCACCTGCCAGTCCTCACCCTCAGTTCGGAGCCCCCCTGTCGCTCTCCCCTGCTCACAGCTGTGAAAGGTACTCATCGCTGAGGAACCACCGTCCTGCCCCTTACCCCAACCCCTACACCCATAGAAACAACTCGCCAAGTAAGTCCGACGTTGCAGCTCTGTCAAAATGAGCCGAGGGCCGTGAGGTGTTGAGCGGTGGGCATCTCGAGCGATGCCACAGAAATTGAGGTCGCTTGTTTAGCTGTTTGTGCGGAGGGCTTGGGGCCAGCGTGGCAAAGAAATGGGGGTGATGAGTACGTGTCCCCCGTCTCTTTATGAGGGAAAAACCAAGGGGGTGTAGAATTGTCTCCTGCTAACTGATTAGATTGTATCGTGCTGGCTGTCCTGCGCTTTTGAATTCTTGTAACCAGTGAGCTTAAACTTACTTTGGCTTTATTCTTTTTGAGTGTGAAAGCGAGGACTTCAATCATTAGTTACAGGTAGTACAATGAAATGAAGAAATATGTCTGATTCTGGTAGTGTGACTTGTTATTAACACATAATCATGGAGGGCCCGATTCTGTCAAGTTTACTTGCCTGTTGCTGTAGTTAACATCAGTGCCTTAAGGTTGTTCTCAATGTGTCACAACTGGATACACAGAAACAGTATGGAGCTGAGTAAACTGCAGAGCTATTTAAAAGTCGTGCTCAGAAAGAGCCAAATAGCTTAAGGCTTAGTGCCTTAAGTCATAGGTACTTAAGGGAGAGGAGGGAAGATCATTTTTAACAGTGATTTGTTTGGGTTTTTTAATTTTTTTTTCTTTCTTCTGGCAAAGGCCTGTTAACAATTTTTGCCCTTCAGCCTTTATGGATGGTGAAGGTTCACGCTTAAAAAAAATACTTAGTATTTTGAATTGTGAAGCAATACACAGGGTTCTAGGTGCAGCCTGACCAATCTTGTATGTAGCTTTGTAGTTCATTTTAAAGCAGGAAACTAGCTTTCTGTGGGCTTTTCTTTCATCTTGGAAACTTTATGCAAGTTTTGTGACTTGAAGCAGAATAAAAGAACAAAACAGCTCCGGTGTTCCTTGTTCCCTGGTCCTCAGCAAGGAACCTCTTCTCCTTCCCTTAGCCAGCTACCACGGCAACTTCTTTTTCACTATGGATGACTGTATAGGATTCCCTTTATAGCTTCCTAGTGCCTCTGCCGTCTTGGCCAGCCAGTTTTGGTCACAAGCCCAATAGTTTAAGCCACAGTCCAATTGCTCCTGATGGTGCTTAGGGCAGACTTCAGAGCCAACGGTGGCATGCTCAGCTCAAAGCTGGGATGTGTGATCCAGTGATACGCTTGTTATCCAGGGCTGCCTGGCTGTTACTGCCTATGGAGATAAAGAAGGTGTCCTGGAATAGTGATTGGGATAGCGTAAGTAAGGAGTCCGCATCTTCCCACTGACCGAGTAAGGAAGCATGGGCTGAATTAGCAGGTGGTTTTAAGTCAGCTTTTTGGCCATAGATTCTTCACAGAAATAAGATTTTGCAGTTGTAAGTTGAGCAAAAGAACAGCATGTCAGCAGGGGCAATGCCAGTGAAAGTGTAAGCTTGGCACAACTGGTAGCTGACTTCATTTTTCTGTGTGTGTAATTTTGTTTGGTTTTTTTGCAAGGGGGTAATGGGGGAGGGTGGTTTAAAGCTATACATTGCCTTTGAGTACAAGATCGTTATTTGGTTTGATTCTAGTGTGTTTAAGCGTGTGTTTGTTCTCTCAGCAGCCTATGCCGATAACTCCTCCGCCTGCCTTTCCATGCTGCAGTCCCATGACAACTGGTCTTCTCTAGGAGTTCCCACACACACGACGATGCTGCCCATGAGCCACAGCACCGGCACAGCTACCAGCTCCAGGTAGGAGTCTATCCCTCAGCAGCCCTCAAATCCATGTGTTGATACTTTCTAGGAAGAGAAGGCTGAAAAAGGAGGTAAAGAGTCACCAGCAAATTAGAAATCCTTACAGCCACATGTGAATCATTAGCTCTCAGGGGGGGCAGCACTGAGAAGGACTATTCACAAGGAAAACGTTTTGATGAAACAGATAATTATTTTTTTATATTTTGATTTTGGAAATGTAGATACTTGTGACAGCAATATTTGATAGATTAAGGATTGCAAATCACTTAGACAAACATAATTGAATTTGAGGATACTCTTTTAAGTTTCATCTCTTTTAAGCAAAATGATGTTTAAAAAGTTTTATTTTTGATCTGTTTCATTTGAACCAGTCACTTCTCTCCTAGCTATCTCCACAAACCCTTGTTCTGTTACATATGAAGGGGCAGTGAACTGTAGTGTGGAGAAGGAGCAAGTGGTTGGGGCAGTCATTCTTAAGCATTGCCACAGAAGCAAGCATAGCATGGGATTGTATACATGGTGAAAGCATTTGCCATTTTGTGATCACATAAATGTATCTTTTCTCCTCTTTGTAATTACTATCTTAATTGAACTTTTGGATGTTTTAGAGATTTAGCTTACAGTTGGTCCCTTGGAGCTAAACTTAAATTCAAAGAGGTAGAGATAAGGTGGTAACATCTTTGCTGTTGACCACAGAGGGCTGAGGTTTGGGCATCTTTCTCAGCAATTCAGACCTACCACTCCATTTGTGGAAAGCATTTTTATTTGAACCATGCACGTGGACACTTAGCTGTTAATCAGAGTATGTCCTACTACCTGGTACAAGATAACTTATTACTGAACATAAGTTTTAGTCCTGAATGTATGTTAATCAAGTAAACAGGTCCTCCTAGCACTTCTTTCTACGTTTGACCCCAGAATACGTTTGGAAAGTTGCAAAGTCCATTGAGTTTCAGTTGGTGTACTGAGTTGTCCAGTAGATAAAGCCAGTAGAACTGGAACTGTGGGACATCAAGGAAGGCATTTCTGCCACCCCTTTTGTCTAAACCCCTATCTGTAAAGTACAAATAATATTTATCTATCTTGTTAAACTGCTTGGGATCAATAGGTAGAAAGTGCTGTGTAGTATTATACAGCAGGACTGAACTTTTTCTCGTAGTGTTTCTCTTGAATCACCTTGTTTCTTTTAATTCATATGTGTTTATACATGTGTGTGTATATACATACTCAGAGGAGAGAGAGTATGGAGGCTGTAGTGTCCTGACAAGGCTTTTTTCCTTTCAAGCAGCCCTTCCTGTAGTACCTGTACAATTTGCAGCCATCAATCTGGCTCTTCCCCTTTTAACATGAGATGATGAACAAGGAGGGCTGAACTGCTGTCTGGAGGCATCCGTCCCTCTCTGACTACAGAGGCAGCCATGGCGGATTAGGGCTCTGGCAGACTGATGGCAGCGGATTCAAACCTGCCTGGGTTGAGCAGCTGCTGTGTCCAGCCACCTCCACCACGTGCCTTTCCCCAGAGGCAAGGGTATGCCACGGCTCAGGAATCAGCTCTCAAACCTCTGCATTTTTCAGCCAGCCTGTTCATTCCTCAGCTTGGCTTAAAATTTGCTAGTATACCTAGTGCCAGAAGCTGCTGCTGGAAAACAGGGAGGTTAGATTTATTGGTGGGCTGCCATGAACACGAATCCTGCCTGGGGGTCCTGCCTACCTTGCGGTGGCTGGGAACTACCTAAAGAAATGCACTGCCTCCAGCAAGCGGACCCAGCTTGGGAGCTGTGGTGTGACCCGAGCAACTGCCAGTAGGCAGCAGAGTCTCTAATAACTTGTTTTATTTATCGCTTTCCCTCTTTCAGTCAGTATCCTAACTTATGGTCTGTGAGTAACAGCACCATCACGCCAGTGTCTCAGTCGAGCGGGATGTCCAACGGCCTGAGCTCCCAGTTTTTACGTGGCTCTCCAGTGCACTACACTGCCCTTCCGCACCCGGTCCCCGCTGCCTCCTCCGCCTCCCCCCTGTACGACAGCGGGGCACCCACGGACCTGCCCGACAGCCAGTACGATGCCTCCGCACATGCCAGGCTAGCATCCACGTGGACGCCTGTCACCCCCCCTTCCATGTAAACCCGGGCTTTTCCTACAAGACAGACTTTTTTAGCTACTGAATTACTTTAAGATGCTTAATCCTCAAGGAAGAGAAAAACGAGACGTGAAGTAGATTACAGACAAAGCATCTGCACTGCTTTGCATAGAGCATCTACGTTATACCTCTTACAGTGAACGGTGCATCACTGACTTCATGCAGAGTTTACAAACCTGGTGAGCGTGCAATTCTGAGAGCAGATTCACTGCTTTTAATCTTTTTTCTTTTTTCTTTTTTTTGTATTTTAAGTTTGATAGACCTAAGTTTTAAGATTTTTGCTTAGATTGCAAATTTCTCAGTGTTCTGATATATTTGGACCTGAAGCTTGGCGTTGTTCTTGAGTAAGTTACTCCTAACTGTTTTCAGTTAATTTTTTTAATGGCAAACTTAGCTATAGTCGTGAGAAGACTTCTATTAACCGTCTAGTTAGAAGCATTCTGAAATATGCACAAATGTAGCTGAGGAGTGAAGTTTTTGGAAAATCATGTGCACTAACACGTATTTGCCTCACAAATACGTTGTGTTCTTAACTGTATGCTTATTTCCTTGCTGCTGAATTAATGTTGAGACAATCTGCAAGAACTATATTCTTTTTAATAAATGCAGTATTAATGTTTGGTTTAAATTGTTTTACCCAAAAGACTCCTTTTAGGGGTAAGTTTTGCCGTTTGATCATATAGATTTCAAATACCTGTCAGCTTAGCTAAACATCTCATTTCAAACAGCCAGTGTCTAATAACAAGCCCTATCCAAAAGCTTTCTGAACCTTTGAAAAAACATCACTGTTGTTGTTTGGTTGTTTTTTTTCTTAATTGTCTCTGGCTCAGGCCTTAAGGGAGGGAATTCAACACCTGGAGAATCATTCTAATTTATTTTATTTCAATATTGTACTCTGTTGATCTATATTTATTATTTGGGAAGTTACAACTTCCTTATTTGGGAAGTTACATATCTACATGTTAAGATATGTAAATAATCCTTCAACCTACGGTGTACTCTTTTAAGACAATCATACATGGGATATGTCACCAATGGCACATTGAACAGCATAGATGTAAGCAGTTAACTTATTGTAAGAGGGAAAGCTCTAGTTACCGATAGTTTGGAGGGAAAAGTGCAGATAAACTAAGCTTTAAAATACACTGACTGCTTGACTTGCTGGAAAGATCAGGTCTTGATAAAATACTTCCTTCAGGCCTGATACCAAGTAATACGATCTAAATTTCTAATGCAGGCTAACCCAAAACAGTGGCTCAAAGTGTGCCCTTGGACATGTCTCTTTCTCCCACTGACTCTGGCAAGTACATAGCCTGAGGAAAGTGAATTATTTTGCATAAGCCATAACAAATAACTTTTATAATGAAGTGCCTAATATAGCGAAGCAAAATTCTGTATCAGGGAATTTAAATAACTCATCGATGGGTGCTCATGTGCTACAGTGGCAGCTTTAAGATGAAAAAGTAAATATTTGCCACCGTTTTGGTCTCTCTTGGCACCCTATGGGCAGATCCCTGCACCTAGAAAGACTTTGGCAGGGCTTTCTCCCTGCAGAAGGATTTGCATGCAGCTGCAGTCTCCCAAGGTACTCTGGCAGGAGACAGCACCAGAAGCAGATGGCTGCATGACTGCATTCTCTGTCAATATGTAAATATTGATCTAAGGGTTCCTATTTTATTGTGAAGGTAAATTGTGTAAATGATGTAAGTGCATTATTATTTAGACTATTTTGTAGAAATTAGCAACATATTTCACTGTGAGGTTTTTTACTTGTATTTCGGATGTATAATTTAAATTGGAAAAAAAAAGAGTAAAGATTCTTAAATAAACTCGGTGCTTAATTTTCAGTTTGTGGGGGGCAGTGGGAAAGGTGAAACAAATGCACAAGACGTATTGAACCTACAGTATGTTGACCTTCCATGGAGCAGTTTCACAAATGGTTCCTGCTGCACAGCGGCTTCCGGCTGTGGGCGAAGGGTCAGAGAGTTCTTCATAACCAAATCAATGATTATTTACTCATGAAGAACTTAGAGACCTCTTGAGGTGCTATGTTCTCCACATCTGCTTCTCCCCCCCGCCCTGCCTTTGTTTCTCCCTGCTTTTGCGAAGTCCTTGACTGACTGGTGGTCAGAGGTGGTAGCTGCAACTGGTGTTGGGTGAAAGCTCTTTTTCCACGGTGACCAACTTGTAGGGTAAATGCCGGAGCTGGATGTGAGCCTGGCAGCTGCTGTGTTCTACCTTGATAACCAGATTTTCAAGTGTGCGTCATAAATGCTGAACTGCTGCCTGGTCTTCTCAGCTACTGAAGAGGACAACCAACCTGCCATGCAGTGAAAGGGAAAGGGACCTGTAAAGTGTGAGAGAGGTGCTAGGTCTGGGGCTGCAAGATGCTCCTTCGCATGGCCCCGGGCAGGCAGCCCAATGTGGGGCTGGCTTTGCTCCAAAGAGGCTGGTGTGGAGGAGAACCCACAGCTGCTGCCCAGCACAGAGGTCAGCAGTTTCTCAGGTTCTTGCAGAGCTCGTACTGAAGAAATGATTGCCATGTCCATGTGGACAAGAAGTATTGGGGCTATTTATTAGATTGTAAGATTTGGCTAGGGCTTGCTGAACTAACCTGCCTGCAGCTAAGGCCGCCTTCTGGCTGTGGAGGAGCCTGGTCCTTGTTTCCTGCCCCAGCTTGATGTATGGCCTTGGAGGCCTCCGTGACACTGTTTTGATGTGCACTTAAAGCTGGCAGGAATTTCTGATTCCTGGAGGATGGTGTGATACTAACCTGGCAGCTGAACTCTGGGTCCTGAAAGAGTTCTGCTCTTAGTGTGAGAGAACTGTTCTGCCTAGTGAGCAACCTTGGCAATGTCACGCGGGCAATGTGCTTACTTGTTTTAGGTCTTGAGGCAAAAGCAGATTACTGTTAAATGAATCAATTAACATTAAAAGATTTCTGAGCCTGAAGAATAAGCATACACATATACACGGCTTTCATAGATGAAGCATTGTACATCTCCAGGCAGCTCAATGCTGGTGTCAAATGTATCTTATCTAATTGGCTTTTTTGGTGTGTGTGGGGGGGGTTGTGGTTTTTTTTTTTCCCCTCCCATACTTTCAAGTCAAAAAAGCTGGAACCTTTCATGCCACTGAACGCAAGTTGCACCCTGCTTTAAAGCAGACTGAGCATTTCAACATCTGCTGTTTCACACCTGCTCTGCTACCTTCTTCTTCCTGAACTGTGCTTTTTCTCTGACCGGGTTCGTGTGGCCAAGCAGCCATCAAAGGCACCTCAGCCTCACAGATACCATCAGGGTTGTAGTTGCTGGAGGAGCTGGGCAGTCAGACCCAGATGACTCTACAACTACTGAAGCCAGCGTGAAAACCGCGTGGACTTTGTGTGACTCATCCGGAGAGGCTTTTCTCACCCGTGGGCTTGCGACAGCAGCACCGTGCTCTGCTTCCGCCCCGGCCGCCCGCCGGTGCACCCTGGAGCTGGTGGCGGAGGCGAGGCGGGGGCACAAACGTACCTGACATTTCCAAACACTGAGGAAGGCTGGTGTGAGATGGCTTGCCTCGACTGGCCGACCGGTGAGTGGAGCTCTGCAGTTTCCCAGTTTCCCAGCACCAGCTCCACTGTGGCTCCTGTCACCGTGCCGCACGCCAGAAAAACACTGGGGCTAGAGATGTCTGTGAGGCTGGGAGACGTCCGAATGCTCAGGGACTAAGCCATCAGCAAATCTCAGGACTCTTAGGAAACCTATATTGTTTACCATCTCAGCATGTTAATGCTTTTTTCCTTTCTTTATTTTTCCTTTGGGTAACGAATAGTTGCCGGCTGCAAAAATCTCTGTAGACCCCTCAGCCCTATTGTGCAGAAATGTCTTTCTCTGCTTGCAAAAGCCATGTGACTACTAAGTCCCACGCAGGAGTAAAACATGAGACTGGGTATTCCCACACTTGTCTGCAGCCTGACTCTTCTCTATAGATCTCAGTTAGATTTGTGACTTAAGTGAGATAATACATGTTGAGATACTGCATCACTGATGTCAATAGTCCAAGCAGTAAATGTAATTGAAGTAAAAAGTAAGGAAGACAATAAACAGAATCTTTTATGTTTTTTAAATCACACACTGACCCATTCCAGGGGCTTAGATCTGTGAAGAAAATAATTTTCTCTTCAGAGAGTCTGGCTTTAGCTGCTCCTGGATTTCCGTGCCTTTGGAAACTGAGATAAAGAAAATGAGGGAGCCAGTCCGAGTGGTGCATGGTGCAGTGCCAGTATTTCTCATAGTGTCTAATAGCATCTTCCAGATGCCTTTATTTCTAAGAATGTAAAAAAATTCCTTGAGAACATAAGAATAAACTCAAAGCCAGGTTCTCCCACCACACATACCACTGTGATATCAAGGATCTGGACATTGTGGGCTTTAGAGCCCAAGGTTATATGACTGGCTAGAGCAGTTGCTTTTGTCAACAGAGAAGCCACAGGGCTTCTCAGGGATCTCCTCCTGGAGTCACCAGTGCTTTTCCACTCACAGAATTTGCCCTTCTGTCTTTTGTATTCATCTGGACCTCTTGCTTTCCCCAGCTGACACTGCTAGTTTTAATCCTAGGAATGACAGCAAAGCATCCATACACAGACGGAGTCTCTGTTAGCTGACATGTTGGCTTATGTTTATCACGCTTATCATGTCTCAAGTGTATCTACACTGCCGATAGGAGCAGGGTGGGTGCCGAAGCCCATTCCTAGTGATAGTTTCCCAGAAGTGGATGTTGGCTGCAGTCTTGAGTCAGTGTGGAGCAAAGAGCAGTGCATTGGGGCTTACATATATTGCGTATCCCCTGTATGATCACATAGCTCACTGCAATTCAAATTTCAAGCCAATCAAGGCTTCTTTTTTGCCTCTTTTTGTTAAAATAATCTTAATACCCTTTTGGTGCTGTGCTCCCAATGTGTCTCTAAGCCCTGTCTCCCAAGGCACCATTGGGGGTGGTG